TTAGGGTTTGGGGTTTAGGGTTTAGGGTTGGTTTAGGGTTTAGGGTTTGGGGTTCGGAGTTTAGGGTTTGGAGTTTGGAGTTTAGGGTTTAGGGTTTGGGGGTTTAGGGTTTAGGGTTGGTTTAGGGTCTAGGGTTTGGGGTTTGGAGTTTAGGGTTTAGGGTCCTGGTTTGGGGTTGGGGGTTTAGGGCTTCTCGAGATCCTCTTCCCTTGGCCGTCGCAACTACAGTGACGATAGCGGCAGCAGGTGTCCTAGCCGCAAAATCCCAAGCCATGGAACGTTTCTCCTCGAAGCCTTACATGAGCCTTTAAAGTCTTAAAGTCTATGAATTTCGGCATCCTGCACCCGAACTCCGAACCCCTCCTATCCCTCTACGCTCTATGCCACTGAAAAAACACTTACGAAGCCCTGCCCTCAACGCGCAAAGCCTTGCCGGAGCCAGAAGAGTCCCTAAACCCTAAACCCTAAACCCCCGAACCCTAAACCCTAAACCCCTGAACCCTAAACCCTAAACCCTAGTTCCAGGAGGAGATCCCGTCGATCCCGCTTCCTCAAAGCCTCCAGTCGCCTTGGCGAGTTGAGAGCTTCAGCGGTTCGATGTTGGGTTCGGGGTTGTGGGGTTTAGGGTTTAGGGGTTTAGGGGTTTAGGGTTTAGGGTTCAGAGTTTAGGGTTTAGGGTTTAGGGGTTCAGGGTTTAGGGTTGAGGCCCCTAAATTAGGGCTTTAGGGTTTAGGAGGTAGGGTTTGGGGAATAATATCAGCATGGGATAGGCACTCTGTAACTCAAGGAATGCTAAGCCCGAAAGCTTATCGTCACACACTGATTCTCAAAGCCTTGCTGCAGCGGTTTGGGGCTTAAGGAGCAAGCGAGCATTCAATTAATTGGGCCTAAATAATCACCAATACTATTTTTGGGTCCTTACCACAATTATAGTATGGTTGGCCCCAAAATATTATTCTAATTATTAAGGCCTCTAAACCCTAAACCCTTATAGTAGCCCTTATAGAACCCTTTAAGGAACCCTTTAAAGGAGTCCCATAAAACCCTATTCTAATTATTAAGGCCCCTACACCCTAAACCCTTATAGTAGCCCTTACAGAACCCTGTAAGGACCCTAAACCCTATAGAACCCTATTCTAATTATTAAGGCCCCCATATCAGAGGTGTGGCACACGAGCCGGTAGGCGGCCCACTGGTTTCGGTGTTCACATGAAGGGCTGGAATTTGGTTTAGGGTTTAGGGTTTAGGGTTTAGGGTTTAGGGTTTAGGGTTTAGGGTTTAGGGGTTTGGGGTTTAGGGGTTTAGGGTTTAGGGCTAACCTTATGCCGAAGATAGGGGCTTAAATAATTACCTATGCTATTTTGGGGCCTCCTTATTATAGCCATCGTATAATATACCCCAAAACCCGTTTGAAAATTATAAAGGCCCCACGTTACACTGCCATTTCGTGGCGGATTTAGCATGCGGTGCTGCATCCTGGATGCCTCTTTGCCCAGTCTCCTTGCAGAGCCCGAATATACAATAGGGCTTGGGGGTATAGTATATTTTAATCATAATAAGGAACTCCCCAAACCCGATTCTAATTATTAATATAGGGGCCTTAAGCCTTACCGGTAGTTCTCTCAATTCTGGGGGTCCTTTCGGGGGGTCCTTTTTAAAAGGGTGCCGTGTGGTTTTCTGGGGCCTTAGAAGGGGCCCTACACCTAAACCCTAAACCCTAACCCTAAACCCTAAACCCTAAACCCTAAACCCTAAAAAAAAAAAACCTAAACCCTAAACCCTAAACTTAAAGAACCACACGTAGGAAGGCCGACGTAGCAGGAAACTCCCAAGCACCAAAGTTCCGAACTACCCGAGCTCCAGACTCCCAGAATAGGAATATTAGGGTGTAGGGTTTAGGGTTTAGGGTTTTAGGGTTGAGGGTTTTAGGGCTTTAGGGTTTTAGGGTTTTAGGGTAGGGTTAAGGGTTGAGGGTTTCAAGGTTTTAGGGTTTTTAAGGTTTAGGGTTTAGGGTTTAGGTAGTATAGTAATAGTACTGGTTCCGACTTAGTATCAATAGTAGCAATAATGATGCGAATAGCGATAGTCTAGTAATACATACTAAGAAGAAGAAGACAAGACCACAATCTCGAGTCGAGTTTATGATACTTAGACCCTCCATCTAGCTTCAAATAGACACTAAACTTGGCACCATATAACCCCCACTTGAGGGTACCAGGAGGGTCTCGGTAGGGTTTAGGGGAGGTTTGGATATGAACACCGGACATCCCTAAACCCAAAACCCTAAAACCCTAAACCCTAAAACCCTAAACCCTAAACCCTAAAACCCTAAACCCTAAACCCTAATTAAACCCTAAACCTAGCAAAAACACAACGCTTCCCAACTCCCAGGCGTTCCGGCCACACGCCGCGGGAGGGCTCCGACGCAGGGAAGCCCCGCGGACCGGCTGCCAAGCGAGCGCCGAAGCCGCAAGAGAAGGGTTTAGGGTTTAGGGTTTCGGGTTTAGGGTTTAGGGTTTAGAGTTTAGGGTTTAGGGTTTAGGGTTTAGGGTTTCGGGTTTCGGGCTTAGGGTTTAGGGTGGGGCCTAAATAAATAATTGCCTCTACAAGTTTTATGGGGTCTGCTTTATGATAAGTATAGTATGATGGGCCCCAAACCCTATTCCAATTATTGAGGCCCCTAAACCCTAAACCCTTATAGTAGCCCTTATGGAACCCTTTAAGGAACCCTGTAAAAGGAGACCTATAAAACCCTGTTCTAAGTTTCAAGGCCCCTATATTAGGGTTGAGGGTACCCAAACCCTAAACCCTAAACCCTAAACAGAAGCCTCGTTGAGTCTCAATTTGCCAGCCGGTAAAGCAAGAGGGGTTGGGTTGCTTGGGTGGAGGTCTAGGCCAAGCTTTTCCGCAACAGTTCGGGGTTAGGTTTGGGGTATAGGGTTTAGGGTTCAGGGGTTTAGGGTTTCCGGTTTTTCGGGTCTGGGGTTTGGGGTTTAGGTTTTCAGGGTGTGGAGTTTAGGCAACCTAAGCCCCTGGCAGGTTTGGAGGTGCCAACACCGTACTTTAGTGATCTGGATACCGGCTTCTGTAGTAGCATCCCCTTACAGTCCCAGTAACAGATTGACATGCAATGCTCCAACACCCTGATTAAGGCCCTTATATTACATGAGCTTGGAGGGAACTTGAAACAGCTGCACCCCAACAAGGGGCAATGTTCCAAGGACATTTTCAAGAATCTTGGTTAAACCCAAACCCTAGAGGTGAACAACTCGGTGATTCGCCAGTTAAGGGTTTAAGTTCGGCTTTTCTTTGAGAAGACTTCAAGAGCAGGCGGATGATGATAGGCGGCCGGCACTATTCTGCTGCTTTATCCCGATGTCGGCACGGATTGAATTGAAACAGTCCTAGCTGATTGAGGAGTGCAGAGCCAAGTTGAGGATGCTGTCCATCTCACTCGAGGACTATTCCTCATCGGCTTTCTAGGGGAAGCCTCAAGACACGCATGCAATATTGCTAAGCAGCCTGTATTTTAGGGCTTAAACCCTTGACCCTCACACCCGACAGGGCATCAAGGTGTCGAACTGATCAGCAACAGTATAAACCCTATGCCGTTAATCCGAAAACACTAAACCGGAATTCCCGATACCCTAAACCCTAAACCCTAAACCCTAAACCCTAAACCCTAAACGCTCAGGCTGCTGGCAGGCCGAAGGGCACCAGCTCGGGCAAGGCACCCCCGCAGGGTTTGATTTGGGGTTCCTACCAGTAGGAGTCTTGCAGGGCCCATGGTGGGTTTAGGGTTTAGGGTTTAGGGTTTAGGGTTTAGGGTCCAGGGTACCCGAATGGGAGTTTCCGAAAACAAGGGGTACCTGATTTTGGGGTCCTTATAACTAGGATTCTACTATTTTGGGTACTATGTTAGGGTTCCCTATTTTGGGAAACCCCCAAATGGGTAGTTCTTTGGTATAGAGTATCCTAACCCGAAACCAACATGGACCCTGAGGGTTTCAAGGGTTCAAGGGTTCAGGTCTTTAGGGTTCAGAGGCTTTGGGTGTTTTTAAGGGTCACGGTCTAGGGTTTAGGGTTCAGGGGTTTAGGGTTTAGGGTTTAGGGTTTGGTCTAGGGTTTAGGGGTTCTACAATGTCTGAGTGCTCTGATAAACATAGAGAAACGGAAAGGTACATCTGTGTTCTGTCATAGTCTTTCTAAGAATGGAGCTAAGTCGGATTTAGGGTTCAAGGTTATGAGCTTAGCCTTTTCGGTTTTGGCTAGAGCCCAGTCAGGTTTTCTCCTTTGTTTTGAGTGTTTGGGAGTGTTGGGGGGAGGGTAGAGTGGGTAGAGTTGAGGGTACTTACCCTAAACCCTAAACCCTAAACCCCTTACACAGCCGCGAGCCATGTCCCACCACTGACTAGGAGGACCTCGTGGCAACAGCCTTGGCCTTTCACGAATGAAATGAGGCGTCAACAAAACCCCAAAGCCCCTAAACCCACCAAGCCCTGAATCTCTAAGCCCCCAACCCTGAACCTCTAAACCCCGAGCGCTAATTCCTGCCCCAAAGCCCCTAAACCCCCGAAGCCAAAAACCTCCACGTGTTAGCACTTGGTACTGTAGCAGAGTAGGTAACCTTTAACCCTTGGTACTCGCATCCCTATACAATCACAAAGGTTAACCTTTAGTTCCCCATGATACTCTAAACTCTAAATCCTCAACCCTAAACTCTAAACCCTAAACCCCTAAACCCCTAAACCCTAAAACCTCAAACCCCTAAACCCTCAACCCTAAAAGCCTAAACCCTAAAACCCTAAGCCCTAAACCCCAGACCCTAAACCCTAAACCCTAAAGCCCTAAACCCTAAACCCTTAAAGCCCTAAAACCCTACTGGGCAAGTAGGAACAAGCATGGCCAGGTGCGCCCCAGAGGGAGCACCCAGGCCGGGGGTCCAGATCTGACATTTCCGGGTGAAAAAACGGTGCGGGGGTTTAGGGGGGTTCCGGGGTTTAGGGTTTAGGGGATTGGGGGGTTGGGTTTAGGGGATTGGGGGTTCAGGGTTTAGGGTTGAGGGTTTAGGGGGTTCAGGGTTTAGGGTTTAGGGGTTCGGAGGTTTAGGGTTTAGGGGATTTGGGGGGTTGGGTTTAGGGTTTAGGGCTTAGGGGGTTTAGGGTTGAGGGGATTGGGGGGTTAGGTTTAGGGTTTAGGGCTTAGGGGGTTTAGGGTTGAGGGTTTAGAACGGTTCTGGAGTTTTAGGGTTTAGGGTGTAGGGGGTTTAGGGTTTAGGAGTTTGGGGATTCGGGTTTCACGGTTTAGGGTTTAGGGGTTCGGGGGTTTAGGGTTTAGGGGGTTTAGGTGTTCGGGGGTTTAGGGTTTAGGTGTTCGTTTAGGGTTTTGGGGGTTTAGGGGTTCGGGGGTTCAGGGTTTAGGGGTTTGGGGTTAGTTTGGGGTTTAGGGGTTCAGGGGTTTAGGGTTTAGGGGTTTAGGGCGTATGGCTGAAATCGTCGTGGCATTGGGGTTTAGGGTTTGGAGCTGAAAGGGTTTGCAGCGAGCTGCCACCAAACCGGGATTCTGGAACGATTGTACAGCACACGACCACCCCCACCCCCGCCTCCCCCGGGTTTGAGTATCGAGGGTCCTGTAAAATTGACTTGTCCCTAAAACCTACACCCCGAAGACCTGCAAACAAGGATCCGATGTTTGAGGGTCCATATCAATATCTGCGGTTGCTGTTTCGTCGATGCTTAAAAGTGTAGGCTACGAGCGATTGATCCAGAGCACTGGTCCGTCATGGTCGCGAAGGTCTATTCGACGACATGTTTGTTGATGTTCAACGGTTTGGTTCGCTCTAAACGCTGAACCCTTAAATGTTAAAGAAACCTTAAACCCAGAATGTCCTAAACCGTGCATGAGAGTTTTCAGTGCGGAGTTGGGGAATGACATCCTGTGTCCCACTTACGTGCCAGGCCTGCAGCTCCAAAATAAAAACTCGAGATGGAGCGTAAGTGCCGAAATTGGGCTTTAGGGCCTTGCGTACACCCTAAACCCGAAACCCTAAACCCTAAAACCCTAAGTCGTGTGGCCTAAACTTATGATCACCGCCCTCGCAAGCTCGAGCCCTAAACCCTAAGCCCTGAAACCCTGAGCCCTGAAGAAGCCCAATTTCCTGAACCCTAAAGCCCTAAGCCCTAAACCCTAAACCTAAACCTAAACCCACACCCCCCAAACCCCAAACCCTAAAATCCCAAACCTAAACCCTAATAGACCCTAAACCCTAAACCCTAAAACCCCAAACCCTAAACCCTAAAACCCCCCAGACGAACCAGGGACACCTCAGTCCCGCGCGGTCTCCGGCACGGTCACCGGCACGGTCGGCGGCGCGGCAGCTGGATTTCTCAGGTGCTGAGCCCGGCTTCGTTTGTCGGTCTAGCGTTTAGGGGTTTAGGGTTTAGGGTTTAGGGTTTAGGGTTTGGGTTTAGGGGTTTAGGGTTGGGGACCGGAGGGGGAAGGGAGTTCAGCGGCTTCCGATCTTCGACAAGCTAATGTAGGGGTCTTGACAATTAGAATAGGGTTTGGGGGTATATTATATTAGAATTCAAATATGGAGCCCACAAAATCCTGTGCTAGTTACTAGGGTCCCTACGTGATGAGAGTGAGATGTGCGAATGGAGCTAAAGACATGAGGATTTCTGGTTGCATTTTTTGCGGTTTAAGGCTTAGCGTTCAGGCGCTGGGGTATCTTCTGCACCCAATATATACTGTAAGGACCCATCTTGTAAAGAACCGTCATAAAGACTCAAAGTAAACCGCAACGGTCTCCGAGAAAGGAAGGCACACGAGGCCCATGAAGATTAGGTACCCACATTTGTCCCGACTTGTTGGGCGGTTAAAGGCTTAGCAGAGTCTGTTTTCAATCGGTTTAGAACCCTAAACTCTAAACCCTATTCGCGTGTAGGGTACGAGGTCAATGTATAGGGTCTGTTACAGGCCAGGGTTTGGTTATTGTAGGACATTGGTTCAGGAATTGGGGGTTGGGGGTGTAGTTGTTCGGGACTATTGTGGACGTTCGGGTTTAATCTTTACGACAAGGCCAGAGGTTACTTTGAGAGCTCTACACCCCTACGCCCCAAACCTTAAACCCTAAACCCAAACTAAACCCTAGACTCCAAAGCCTCCACCCCGACGTTGAAACCCTAAACCTCAACACCGTCAGCTGAATTCCAACCCAAACCCCACAATCCCTCAGCATTTCGGTAGTTCACTAAATGAGGGAACTAGGGTCACTGTTATGGTCCTTTTATATCAGGGTGCCGTACTATTTTTGGGGACAAAAACAGGGACCCTGATTCAGAGAACTGCCCATTTGCAGGCGCAGACGATGCACCGGCACTCCGGCCAATGCTGCTGGGCGCGAGCCTGAGCAGTGGTCCAACCTTCTCCTCGTAACCACAACAGTAGTATGTATGATTTAACAAGTTCTAGATTCGAGTACGATTTTGTGTATTGCGGAGCCCCAAGGAATAGTCTTCAGGCTTCTGTTCTAACTAGAAAAAGTCTAAACGGGCAAACGTAAGCCTCACGCGTGCCAGGCTAAATCAGTCGCTAAACTAGACCCCCCGCTGAAAGGGCAGTGATATTCGACTAGGGCGGGTTTAAGGTTTTGGGTTTTCCGTCAATGGGGGTAGAGTGCAGTGTATATCCCTGGTTACGAAACCGCGTTCGTCCATGGTTTCGGGTTCCTTCTTGTAACCCTTACTTGGAATCACAGCAATGGCCTGAATGCAAGGGTGGATGCGTGGCATTCATGTTAACATGATCCCCACTGAAGCGATCGTTGGCACATATGTACACAAGATCCACACTCTTTGTCCATATTTCTACATTTGCTACTATCTAGAGGCGCATTTATTTCGTGTCTATTCCTTTTTGGTTGGTTCAGACATATGTATGTATGTATGTATGTATGTATGTATGTATGTATGTATGTATGTACATGCATATGTTCGAGTACACACATTAAGTATGTGTGTTCAATTGTATGAACGTATGTTTGTTTGTTCGGTTGCTCGTTTGCTTGCATGTGGTCCTAGACATGCTCTCATCTCATGGTCACTTTATGCACATTTGCACGACTCTACATTGTGACTACATAGATAAATATGTACATATAGAACACACACACATGTATGTATGTATATATATATACACATACACATACATATATATATATATATATATACATATATATATACATATATATATACATACATACATATATATATATATATACATATACATATCTATATA